CGAATGCTAAGAAACCTGTGATATCTACGTTTTATAAGATAACAAAACCAGTATTGCACCCCATATGCTTCACTACAGTTTTTTATTATTATTATTATAATATATACTATATTATGCTACATAATTTGTAAGAATTTCATTTCCTTGTCGATTTGGAATAATAATAATAACAATAATAAGAATAATTAAGAAATCCCCCAGTGAATTAATATAAATGGAAATAACAGAAACTCCAGTTTGGAATGACATGATTTATGTACGTGATTCTTTAATATCCAGCCAATTTGAATAGTGATGTTTTTATGTCCACAGTCAGTTGAAGATGCCAATAACAGCGGTATGAACTTATTGGACCAGTCTGTCATTAAAAAAGGTATGGATTATTCCAACAAGCTAGACGAACTTGTACTGTGTAGCAAAATCTGCATGATATCTTTTTACTTTGGGACAATTAATTTATCCGGGAAGCAGGGATAGATGGCAGCAAGGTCTATAGTTGTTTGGATCGGCAGAGAGAGTGAAGGGGAAATGGAAGATCCGTGAAAGGAAAAGTTTGTATTCCCCACCTTCCCCTCCTTCAAAGGATTTAATTACCCAAATGTCTCTAATGGAGCACCCCATGCTCAAAAGTAGTTTCCAGGGGGGGCCCTTGGCTTTTAACAGGAGAAGACGGCTGATTCCCTTTGGGGATGAAATGTATTTCCCAGGCCAATCAAACGTGAAGGGGAGAAAAGGAAATACTTATGGAAAGACAGCCTCGACCTCCTTCCCCCTTTCTTCCAAGAATCCCCCATTCCCCATGCCCATTTTGTAAATCTCCCTACATATGCGCACATGATTTAGTGTAACTGCAGAATCACCCCATACTGTTAAAGGGAATGTGATATTAACAAATGTTTGCAGTCTCTTGTACAGCTGTAAGCAAAATAATTAACTAATTAAACTAATTAAATGTAATTACAATAACTCATTTCGGGCGTATTGCAGCTGCTTAATTTTTTTACATTTCTCTGACAGTCACTCGAAGATGCTTGGCGATTAGTGTTGTGTTATGCTGATAGACATTAAACAGATCACACGCTGCAAATGAAATTATCTAAGGAGTTTCTATTTCTAGATTCAATTTTAAGTACCAGAGATGAGGCTTAGAAATGCTGTCCCTTATGCTTACTATCAGCAGCACTTACCTCTTATTTGTCAAATGCGCACGAACACTTTAATAGGGATTCATTCTACATTCTAGAATGTAAAGCAAAATAACAGGGAGGGTGTTTATTTGAAATGTATTCAAGGCAGCATGAGGTCCTTCAGTGTATTTATTGTTTTTTAATTTAAATCCTCTTGCACACACACGATCAAGGTCTGGTTGTTTGAGGGAGGACAGGTGAAAACTGGAAGACCATTTGGCAGCATTATTTAGGACCATCGGTTGAACAGTCGAAGGTGGTTTTGAGAAATAGAAAATTACTCACCTTTTGTTTTGAATATATATACTGAAAAGTTGTTTCTCCTGGTCTAGTACAGTTTGAACGTTCAGTCGGTTTTGTGCTCAGAGTCTGTAACCTGATGGTTTCTGCTTGTATTTTTCTCTCCCCTCCTCCCCTCCTCCTCTCCCCTTCTCTCCCCTCCCACCCCTGCTTAACACCTCATACTCGATGTTTCCTCTTGGGTGTATTTGATTAATTGGTGCTTGATTTGTGGCCGAGAGACTCGTTCTTAGCGTTGCTCCCTTTGCGCATTTTCCTTTCGCAATCTGTTTTTCCTCAGAACACTTTTCTGCTGATCACCCTGGCCAAAATACTTTTTTTTTTTTTAAACCACCCCACCCCCTGTCTGTGTCTCTATCTCCTTCAGGGACAGCAGAGATTGAATGCGCATGCTGGGCGGTACAGTTAGATAGCGAGTAGCACTAAAATGCGAATATTAGTAATTATATGCATTAGGTGTAGATATAGGAGTGCTTAATGTGTATGGGCATTGCAAGAGCCCCAGGTCGAGCAGCTGCTGCATAATCCCAGATAGGTGGGATTACACGCATTTATGAGCAGCCATAAGAAGAGATACCCTGAGTTTTTATCCATGGTGAACAGGGCAGATATGCATTTTGGAAATGTTACTAAAAAAAAGATCCTGAGATCTGTTTTAAAGTTGCTCTAGCAGTGTTTTCTTCCTCAGAAGTAATGCTAAGCCCTAAGAAACTTCTCATCATAAAGCAACAGTGGGAGCTCAGTTGCTTTTTGCACAAGGAGTTTCCTGGGTACAGAGGAGGAGAAATGAGTAATAAATAGTAGGTCACGTTTGTGGCAGACAATATTTAATCAGGACGAGAGAAGGAGCCACACAGACAGGCTCCAGTATCGATTTCGCCTTGTTCTTGCAGTTTGTAGCTGTGATGATGTCCTTCGAAGCAAGAATAACTTACTGAAACTCTCTAAGTTGTTATTGCAGGCAGATGGACAGATAGGTAGAGACTGAATTTGTGGCTGTGGAGCATTGCCTGTGATACGTATTTGCTAGACAAGGGTTAGAGTGGGACTATTTCACCAAAACCTAAACCGCTTTAATCACAACGTAGTTGAAAGAAAATATAATGTGGACTTGAAATCTGAACTTAATTCTATTATCCAGGCTTTAACTGTCTGTTTCTTCATAGTCTTGGAAGTCTGCAGAAGGAATTACCTATCTATGCAAAAGGACTGCCAAAATATTAAAGAAATTATATAGGGATTCATACGCGGCTATCGATTTATCCAGCGTATCGATCCCGTACAACAGATTACATACACCCAGCCTCTTGTTATGTTTGCTATCCGAGCTTACTTGACATTTCTGAAGTAATTTAGTTAAGAGGAAATGAGTTGTTCCCAGTAGAGAGAGCAAACGAGTGGAGTGAAGGTAGCCAGCGTGATAAATGGCTCTTTCATTTGGAGATCTCCAGAGCTCGTTTAAGGCTAATTTTCTGTATTAGCCCCCTTTGAGCTATTAATGCAATAGGCAGGGACCGTGGCCCCTCGGCTCTTAGCTGCCCCATTAGAGCGAGCATTAAGCTACCAAGCCTGAACTCTGCTGTGGTGGTGGTGGAGCAATGAAAGGTGCTTTTTAAACTCTCCTAATCTAAACTGGCAGAGGGTGGTTAATACGATTTGAAGGGGGCTGGTCAATGAACAATCAATAAGCTAATAATGAGAAGGATGCGGTACATTAACAGTCTAAAAAATTCAACGAGACGTTAAAAAATCATCGTTAAGTCCTAGTTCCATTAAGATTTGGGTGGTGAAAGTGGGCGGGAGGGAGCCAGGCAGACCATCGAGATGATACTAACAACCAAGAGCATTAATATAAAATTTAACTCGGCTTTAAGATCTCACCGGCTGCACGTTTTGAGGCCTTTCCCTCAATGCCTGCTGAAATGCAGGGAAGTTTTCTGTGTATCAGTAATTAAAGATCGGGTCCCCTTGTCACCTGCTCATCTGGGATGTCCTTGGCACCGGCTCTGGCCAAGGAAGTTCTCCTCCTGAAAAATCCCGCGTGACCCGGGTCCTGAGTTAATTTTTTGTGACTCTGGGGCACAGCCGGTGACCTTAAAATTATTCTGATGTATTTATTTACATTCAGCGGTTTCTGCCAATCGCCTGCACACTCACACCTGATTTAGCCCGAAAGGCCACTTAACCCTGACACCTTCATTCGCTATCTCCTTGCAAACACGTACTATTTAAAAGAAACACATGAAAGGAGGTGTCTTAACCTTAAAAACCCCAAACAACCTAGTAATACAGCATGAGATTCCTCCCCACCTCTTCTTGAGCATCCGGATAAATGATTAACTGAAAACTGCTCTGGCCTCAGCTTTGCAGGTGATAGACCTGGGAATGAGAGATGTTGCTTCGCTGCCAGTTTCGTGCTTATTCCTGGATTACCCACTGAACCTTATGATCCCCTTTAACTGAATGCAAAACAATTTCGAGGGAATACATTTCGCTTGGAAATTTAGTCCCGGTTTTCAGGGGAGAAAGGCTGCGGCGGAGGAGAGAGGAGGGGGGAGTGGAGGAGAATAAAGAGACCAGAGGGAAGGGGACAGGAATACACACTTTCTCCATTTGTTCATTAAAATTAAAATAACAACCGGGTCTTTCAGTGGCGGTGGGTAAGACTCTTGTCTCCGCACTTTCTTGGTTTGGCTACTAAGTCAGACCAAATTAAGTTACAACAAAGTCCTGTTGTTATAATGGACAAAGAACTTTCTACTGATTTTAATTTGCCCAGTAGGCAGATATAAAAAAAAAAAAAAAAAAAAGAGAAAAGAAAATACAGTAAGACAGTTTGATAGCTGAGTAGCAGTAAGTTTGGCTATGACTTTTGTTAGTAAGAAATATAAGAAATATTTATTCTGATTGATTGTTTGATTGACTGACAGGCGATCATATTCTTGACTGGGGTTATTGCAACAATATCCATAGCATAGAGCCTTCTTATTCAGCTATTTTCAGGGCATAATTTTATTTATTCTATTTATTTGTGGCTTTTTTATATTTATTTGTTGATTTTTAGTGCTATTCAGATGCCCTTTTATTTCCGTTTCCACTTCTGCATCTGCAATGGTGCCCGTTTTCATGCTCTTGTGGAAAGCAACCCAATAGAGAACCACCATAAAAAAACCAACCAAACAAACAAAAAAACCCAAAAAACCACCAAAACCCAACCAAAACAAAAAAAAAAAAAAACCCTCCAACCCCTGAGACTTAATGTATGCACAGAAAATTGTAAACATGTAAAGAACTGAAAGCTTCACGCTGAGTTTCGCCATGCTCCATTTCCTCACCATTTCCTGCTGTCGTTTTAAAGCGATCTCACTCATCTAGAGATCCCGTTTGCAGGAACAGTGTGCTTATAATTACTAACAAATCAAGCGGCTACTGTTGCTCTCCCGGTTTATTGATAAGCTGAAGAGAAATGGAAGGGGGAAAAATGACAAAGAGGCTGGAAGTAACAGAAGGAGGAGAAAAAGAGAAAAAAAGAGAGAAAGGGATAGAAAAGAAGAAGGAGAGAAAAATAGAGAGAGAAAGAAAAGGAGAAGGCAGAGATTTTGGAAAGAGGAATTATGTATTTGTGAGTGCTCACATACAACAAATAGAGTTTGGGAGTTAGTCTTGTTATCTATTGGGGACAACAAGAACTAAACGGCATAAAGTTAAGGCAGAAGTGCTGGGGATGCTGTGTACACGTGTGTGTTACTCTGATTATCTCAGTTCTGGCAATCCCTAACCAACGGGGAAAGTTGACATGGGCTGCAAATATATTCTGCATTACACTTTATTTACACACATTCAGGGATTTGATACTTGCACCTGCGCACACGGACATGTATATCTC